GGTCAGAAGGTCTGTTCTCACCTGGGGGCTGGGAATTGGAGTCGGAGTCAGAGCTGTTGCTGCTGACAGCTTAGAAGTCAGTCCCTCCGAGACTTGCCTGCCTCCAGCTGGCACTTGTCGCTTTGTATGGAAGTCATTGATTTGCTTGGCTGTCTCTCACTCGACACCTAGTGTCCAGGAAGTCAGGGACCAGGTTTTATTCGGCCTCATCTTAGGTGCTCAAAAGGTGTTTCCTATGAATGCTTGGCACTGATATAGTTCAGCTGGATCTTGACTAACGTTTCCTTCTACATCGTTTCATTATAACATTGATGAGAAAATGTGATTCCCCGCCAGGCCACTGTCTGTGTGGAGTTTGCACCTTCTCCCCAAGTCTGTGTGGATTTTCTCTGGTTTCTAAGCCCCATCCCAAAAGACGTGCACGTGAGTTGAGCTGGTGTGTCTACCTTGTCCCAGGCTGAGTGTGGGTGTGGGTATGGGTGTGGGTGTGGGTGTGAGCGGCCCTTCCAGGAAGGGTTGGGTCCTGCCTTGTGCCCTGAGCTGCAGGGATAGGCTCCAGCCACCTCTCACCATGAAATGTAGTAAATGGGTTAGAAAAGAATGATTTTACTCGTTTTTATTAGTCTTTTTTAAATGTATGTGTAACTCACATTTATGTTAATGTTTAATATTAGAAGTGTTTGGGGACTTGATTTAGAAACTAGAGGCCCGATGCACGAAATTCATGCAAGGGGCTCAGCCCACGTGGCCCCAGCTGCCTCAGCCCTCGAGGCCCCGCCCACTGGTCATTCAGGAAAGTCGTTCCAGAAGGTCAGTCTGCCGTCCAATCTAATTAAATATTGCCTCTTTATTACACAAGAATTTAGTGATGTTTTTGTGACCAGAAATATGGATCTTAACTCTTTTTTGTAGCCACCTATAGTAAAATTGGTTTCATTATGTATCGTTTCACTTAAAGTTGCCGTTTCTAAGAATCTGTCGACAATACGATGTCCTACTATGCACGTTCAAGTGCTGTGATCTGTGATATTCTTACTGTATTTCAAAGACAGGGACAGAAGCATCCTCTGTGGTATGTGTCAGTGAGCAAATTCGAATAGACACCACCGTGGAGCACAAATGACAGAATCCGCAGGCAAGCCTTGTGCTGAAGCCCCACACGTGCTCACCGACAGTGCTTGTTGGTCTCAGTGCTGCCTCTCTTCCTGCACAGGCCATGTTAGCTTTCTGTTGACCATAGTAAGAAAACTTGACTTTAACTGGAGGAAGTGATTTTACTGGAAGGTGAACACAGCTAGACTGACCTCACCCGGGCTGTTAGGATGTCAGTACGGATCCTTGTTGAGGATTGTCCAGGACGATTCCCTCACTTGTAAATTAGGCATGTGAGCCTTTTTGCCTCTCAGTGTCAGAATGAGGAACAGATACCAAAATGGTACCAAATAGTTGTGCAATGCAACATGGGACTGAGTCTAGAAAGTTCTCCTTTGTTGTGGGTTTTTTTTGTGGGGGGAGGAGGGGTTAAATATAGTTTTATTGATTACAGAGAGGAAGGGAGAGGGAGAAAAGCAACATCAGTGAAGAGAGCGAATCATTGATGGGTTGCCTCCTGCTCGCCCCCTACTGAGGGGGTCCTGCAACCTGGGCATGTGCCCTGACCAGGGATAGAAACCGTGACCTCCTGGTTCATGGCCTGAAGCTCAACCACTGAGCTGGGCTACTCCTTTGGGAGGACGGTCCTATGAAGATGCAGCTGGTCCTTTCCGTGGTTTTGCCAAGTCCCCGACCTCTTATTGAACTGTGCCTGGACCCTGCTTGTTCTCTTCTCACTCGGGTTCTGTTCCTTCACCCTGTGAAGTTTCCCGTAGGTTTGAGGTATTACAGAGCCTTGGAAAATTCCACACTGGATCAAACAGCTATAAAATACAGGTCACGCCACCTGTTCTTATTACTGACTCTTGTTAAACCCACATTTGTGAGACAAATGCTATATTTAATTGACCCTTTTCTTTATAATGAAGCTGGAAGGATAAGCTCTGGATAAAGAGTTTTCTAAAATGTCTCCTTACAGATTTTAAAAATTAAAAAGGATGGGAATATGGAAGTCTTTTAAAACATGCATCCCCCTTTCCTTCTCAGCAATTGCCAATTGCCATATAAGTCCACCCACAGAGTATTCATTGCTTACGGTGCAGCTAAACTGCTGGTTATTTGTCCTGTTTACAGATGCAGAAGGTGAAAGGTGCTGTTTCCAATATTCTTATTTTCAGTTCACAGCTCCGTCAGTGGGTGTGTTACTTTGCACTGTGTAGTGATTCACAACATTTCTGCGCCTTTTATTTGCCGTCTCCAAAATGGGCCGCTCTCCCTAAAACACAAAATTCCATTAACCTGGTCTTGGGTGGAGGTTCCCAGGAGGGGGATTTCAGCCCGATGTGAGGGAGGATTTCCTAATTACGAGAGCTGCCTAAAATTGGGGAGGCTGAGTGTGTGCCAGCAGGGTCTGGGACTGATGAAGGGGAATTTCGGCACTGGTGGGAATTTAAAGGAGCTGAACTTTAACTCCGAAAAGCTGCAATTTTAGAAATGTCTCCATGCCCAAAAATAGCTCATTATTGATCTGCTCCTTCTGTCTGAAATTTCTCATTTCCTTTGGGCTCCTACAGCATTCTATTCTTTCTCTAGGTAAGAAGCCTTCATTTTTCCTAGGCTGCAGCTTTTAAATTATACATGCCTGTGGGAAAAGCAAAACAGTAAAACATGACCCGTTTTTAACGACTTAACGTGACTTCCTTTATTAATTAAATACAACTACGTGGATGTTAAAAGGGGAGAAAGAGTCATTTTGGTGAACAGGTTTGGGAAATTCTGGGCCAAAACAAATTAAATAGGATCCTTTACATAGAACTTCAGAGAGCCTTCCTTCACTATGCTTATTTACTCTGAGAATCTGAAAAAAGAATAGAGTATAGAGCAGTGGTTCTCAACCTTGGCTGCACATTAGAATCACCTGGGAATCTTTTTAAAATCTTGATTTCTGGGCCTCATCCTCTGGAAATTCTGTTTCTTTGTTATGGGGTGGGGCCACAACATTAGTAACAACGAAAGAGAATTTCCGGGGGATGAGGCCCAGAAAACAGGATTTTAAAAAGATTCCCAGGTGATTCTAATGTGCAGCCAAGGTTGAGAACCACTGGTATACAGCATTCCCAAGATTGCTTTAGCCACAAACCCTTCTCTCATAGAGACTATCCTGTAGCATAGATTACAGCTGCCACTTGAATTCAACACAATGTGTTTTGTATAGATGAACTCATGTAATACTTACCAAGGCACTCTGAGATTGACATTCTCGTCCCCATTTCAAAGATGAGAAAACGAAGGCCAGAGAGTGACTTGCTGGTAAGTTGCTGAGCCACTGCTCCAGTGGTGAAGTGTCCATTCTGCACCATCCGCTGTTCTGCTGCAGCCTTCTTGGGGAGCTAGTCACGTGGCCCTGAGCCACCGGCTCAGGTGTTTTCCTGCCCTTAGCTGCCTGCCCAAGGCTCTCCTCCCCACTGGGACTCCACTTGTCCTGCTTCCAGTTTCTGCCTAACATGCAGCATTTACTGCCGTGCCATGCACAGCTACAGCACTCCATAGTGAGTGCCAGCTGTAGGCCGCAGTGAGAACTGAAGGGGCTCCAAGGAGGGTGAGCTCACTCTGGGACTGGAGCTGTCAGGGAAGGGTCAGGAATGAGGAGCCCTGAGCTGGCTCCAGGAGATGGGCGGGATTTGGAGGGGCTAAGAGACAAGGCACGGACATCTCAGATCCCAAATGACCGCAGCAGAGACTTCCACGTTCGAATGAATATGGCAAATAGAATTGAAGGGAATTTCTGTAGCTTAATAAAGGGCAGCTACAAAAAAATCCAGCATACTGGTGAAGTATTACGGAATTGTGCACCTGAAGCCTATTATAGTCTTACTAACCAATGCCAGCCCAATAAATTCAATAAAGTAAATTACTTAAGCATATACTCAAAAAAAGAAATTAGAGAAGATTTAAATAGCCCTGGCCAGTTTTGCTCAATGTTGATTCCTGGTCAAGGACAAGTACCTGGGTTGCAGGATCCCCGCCCTAATTAGGGGTGTGGGAGGCAACCAATCGATTGCCTCTCACATCTTGTTTCTCTCTTGCTCTCCCTTCCTCCCTCCCTTCTGCTCTCTCTCAAAAAAAAAAAAAAATCAGTGGAAACAATATCCTCAGGGGAAGATTAACAACAACAAAAAGAATCTAAGTAGATGGAAAGACATTTCATATTTATGGATCAGAAAACTTAATATGTTAAGATGGAATAGGCTCCAACTTGATCTACAGATTCATTGCAATCAATCCCTGTCAAAACCTGTGTTTTCTGCAGAAATTGACAAGTGGGTCCTAAAATTCACATGGAAACCCAAGGGACCTAAAATAGCCGAAACAGTCTTGAAGGGCTCACACTTCCTGAGTTGAAAACTGGCTACGAAGCTACAGTAATTTAAATAATGTGATATAAGTTGCCCAGCCAGTGTGGCTCAGTGGTTGAGCATAGTCTATGAACCAGGGGTCACAGTTCGATTTCCGGTCAGGGAACATGCCCAGGCTGCGGACCCAATAGGGAGCATGCAGGAGGCAGCCGATCAATGATTTTCTCTCATTATAGATGTTTCTATCTATCTCTTCCTCTCCCTTCCTCTCTGAAACCAATAAAAATGTATTGAAATAGTGTGGTACTGACTATATAAAACAGTGGGTTTTAATTGAGAGTCCAGAAATAAATCTTTACACTTGTGGTCAGGTGATTTTCAATAAGAGTACCAAGACAAGTCAGCGGATAAAGAAGAGTCTTCAACAAATGGTGCTGGGACAACTGAATAGCCACATACAAGAGAATAAAGTTGGACTCTTTTCTTATACCATTCACAAAAATGAACTCAAAATGGATGACAGATCTAAATGAAGATCTACAATTGTAATACTCTTAGGAGGAAACCAAGGAGTAAAGCCATGACCTTGGATTAGTCAGTGATTTTTTTAGGTACCAAAAAACACAAGTGATAAAAGAAAAATTGGTAAATTTGACTTCACCAAACATAGAATTTTGTGGCCTGGCTGGTGTGGCTCAGTGGATTGAATGCTTCCCATGGACCAAGGGGTCCTGGGCTTGATTCCCTGTAAGGGCATGTGCCCAAGTTGTGGGCTTGATCCCCCAGTAGGGAGCATGCAGGAGGCAGCAATTGATGTGTCTTTCTCATCAATATTTCTCTCTCCCTCTCTCTCTCTCCCTTTCTCTCTATTTAAAAATCAATAAAAACATTTTTTAAAAGAAAAATAAATAAAAAATATCATCAAGAAAGTGAAAAAAATCCTCAGGATGGAAGAAAACATTTGCATACCACTTATCTGATAAGACTATATTCAGAATAAGTAAAGCACTCTTATAACTTAATATAAAGATCCCAAAAACAGAGCAGTTTAAAAAATGGGCAAAGGATTTGAATAGACATTTCTCCAAAGATATAAAAATGTCCATTAACATATGAAAACACACTTGGCCAACATCGTGAGCCATCAAAGAAATGCATATCAAAGCCACAATGAGGTATCACTTCATACCCATTAGGAAGGCTATAATATAAAAGAGAGAATAACAAGTGCTAGTGAGGAAGTGGAGAAAGTGGAACCCTCATACATTGCAGGTGGTAATGTAAAATGGTACAGCCGCCTTGGAAAACAGGTTGACAGTTCCTCAAAATGTTAAACTAGATATAAACCCAAAAGAGATGAAAGCAATGTCCACACGAAAACTTGCACACAAATGCTCACAGCAGAATTATTCATAATAGCCATAATGTTGACAGTCCAAATATCCATCAAAAGATGAATAGATGAATAAAATGCGGCATATATTCGTACAATGGAGTATTATTTGGAAATAAAAAAGAGTGAAATACTGATCCATGTCATGACGTGAATAAACTTTTAATATATTATTCTAGTTGAAAGATGCCAGTTACAAAAGACTACTTATTGTATGATTCCATTTATACAAAAGACCAAATAGTTTTACCGGTAGAACAGAAGGATTAGTGGTTGCCAGACACGGGGTAGGATGGGGATGACTGTTCATGGGTATGGGGTTTCTTTTGGGAGTGATAAAAATCTTCTAAACTTAAATGGCCTTGATGGTTGAACAATTCTTTGAATGTGCTTTGAATGTGTAAAAACCATTGAAATGTACTTTTATAAAAGGCTGATATGGTATGTGAATTATATCTCAGTAGAGTTGTTTTTTAAAAGGGGAATGAACATGGCATTAAAAAGGTCAGGTCTAGCTGAGGCGATAAGTTCATGTTGGCAGGAGAGAGTAAGGGCCTATTTCCTTCCCTAAACCCTAAAATAGGAGGTTGATATTTGGAACGGAACAAAGAGGGCTCATGTGGAAATAGGACATCACTGTAGAGCAGAGCAGGCTGGTTTGGAAGGCAAACAGCTTTCCCGTGTGTTGAGGGCGTTGAGTCCCTGCTTTGGAATGGGATGGGGAGGCGATACTTGATGGGAGGGAAGAGATGGGGAAAGTGATATGCAGGTCATGTTTGAAACTGTCTACTTAAACTGTATGCCTATGGTTTCCCCCATGCACTCCACACCCCTCCCCAAAAGTTAATATAAATCCTGCTCTCTACTTACATGATAACCTTATTCAGTGGACACACACACACGCCTCTATGTTAAAGGTTTAAGGTAATTTTTAGTTCTGATCTAATAACCACTTTACAAATGGGGAAACTGAGGGTGAAAGAGATGACAGTGCTGCTGTAACCGGACAATCAATGGGTCTGTGCTGCCTGTCACTACTCAAGCCAATTGACTCTCAATTAAAATCCACTGACTTATAAGCAGAGACAGGGTTGAATCATTATGAGCGTTTATTCCAATAGTGCTGGCAGTATGGGGGAGCAGCAGGTCGTCCACAGAAATCTGCTCTGCCCCCACCATAAGCCGGCTGCTTATATTGGCATTACATGGGAAAGTAGGCAAAAGGGCAAGTGGGCGGTCCACAGGTATGCACAAAGGTCTGGGGTTACATGGGGAAATAGCCAAGGGTGTGCCAAATGGGCAGTTAACAGGTGAGCAGAGGGTTGGGGTCTTCAAAGGGCTTGGTGATATGCAAAGCCTGGGGTCTTCAAAGGGCTGGCGATTCTGGTTTCTGGCTCTGGTTCTGCAACAAAGTTGTTAGTCTTTCCATGATAATAGGAAGAAAGGGCTGCATTTCCAGGGGAGCTCCCAGGTCCCGAGTGCGGCTGCCAGCCAGGTGGGAATGTGCCTTCTTTAATCAGAATAAGACAATCACGGTTAACAGAGCATGATTAATATTTCTTAAAATTCTAGCTCGTTCCCTAACATTCTATTTCTGCCCCTATCAGTGTTAATGGTAGAGGTGTGACTAGAATCTGTCAGCTGATTTTGCACATAGTACTAGTAATCCTTTTGTCTGGAACAACCCAATCCCCCATTCTTATATCCTCCTCCAGCTAATTGCTCTCCATCCTTTTTTTTTTTTTTTTTTTTTGTACAAATGTGCCTTCCTCAGTAGAGCCAGCTTTCTCTGTCCTCCTCAGCCCAGATGAAGCCTGAGGTCGCTGTTCTCACAGCTCCTTTTCCCTTTCCCTAAGGATGGGCCTGTAAAACTTGCCTTTCACTGTACTTCTCGCCTCCAGAATGGTGCCTGGCACACAGCAGGCATTCACGAATGCTGCCCTTTTTACCACTGGATTCTTCCCATTGGACAAGTCAATGTGCGTCTGATTTATCCTTCAGTTTCCCACGTGGTAAAGAGTATCACTGTCCCTCTGACCAGCCGGAGAAGGAAAAGTACACAGCTGGCATGATGAGACAACATGTCCCCAATGAACTCGCCGTGGAGCTCAGGCTCCCTGGTTAGTGGTGCCGCAGGTCACTTGGCCTTGTGCTTTTCAGAAGATGAAGTCGGGAAAGACTGATTTTACTTGGTCATTTATCCTCTGCCCATAGGAACCTGGCATGTGCTGAAATTGAACAGGGATTAGAGAAGAGGTGCAAAAACCCTTAAATGAATAAAAATTAGGGACTAAGCAGAGGGATTAATGAAGCTGAGCTGATTAAGTCTAGGGCAGTGGTCAGCAAACTGCGGCTCATGAGCCACATGCAGCTCTTTGGCCCCTTGAGTGTGGCTTTTCCACAAAATACCGACTTCTGCGCATGGGCCACAAAGTTTCAATCACACTGTACGTGCATGCCCACACGTGGTATTTTGTGAAAGAGCCACACTCAAGGGGCCAAAGACCCACATGTGGCTCGAGAGCCGCGGTTTGCCGGCCACGGGTCTAGGGGGAAAGAGAGCTGATGAATCGGTTACAGCAGTTACTGGAGATACAGTGTGTGGGAGAGAGCAGATCAGGAGCCAGGGTCCTCTTGTGAAAGTGGGGCTTTCCCTTCTGAGCTGTGTGCCCTCAACCAAGCCAGCTCCTTCATCGGTGACAGGGATGTGCTCTCTCCCAGGATGATATTTTTATTATTTTTAAAAATGCATGTGACCTTACTGTCTGCTCCGAAACAGCATTTTAAAAATGCAGGGTAATATTACGGAGACAAAGAGGAGGTTGATAACTAGTTTCCTGTTTCCAGAGCATAGACCAAGACTCAGTTGATTTAGCTGATGGCTCAAGATGTTTATGAGAAGGTCTTTCTCCAGCTGGGCAAGTGGGGAGCGGAATAGTCAGGGTGGAGCCCCGGAGCCCCTGGAGAGCCTTAGAGGCAGGTCAGGTGATGGCTTGTCCTTCGGCTGGAGTAGGTGAACCTTCAACTTCCAGGTCTAAGTGTCTGTGTTCTAAGATTCTAAACTTCTCTCCTCTTCCTTGAATGTTGAAGGATGCATCCTGTTTCTGTTGTAATTATGATGTATTTGGGTATGCTATAGCCCACTGGGTTCCTTATGAATTCATGGAATACTCAAGTTGGGGATGAGCCTCAAAGATGCTACCCAAAATGTAATCTGACTCCAGTCTCTTGCAGCACTTCCAGTTTGTTTGATGAGGACAGTTAATTGCTCTTTAGCATTTCATTTGAATGAGACTCACGGATCTGTTTAGGAAGAAAACTGCTGATCAATTGCAATTGCCCCTGTTGCCATGGAAACAGGCTGCCGTGGGACTATAATTATATTTCTTTATTCCTGAAGTGAATCCCTAATCATTGCCGTGGTAATTACCCAATATCTATGGCCCCAAATTACATGATGCTTCTCCAAAAAAGACAAAGGATAAAGGAAGAGGTGTGGGGGGCTGGGGGAGGAGAGGGGCCTGAGACACGTGGTAAGGTGGCAGCTACAGAAAGCTGCTTTTCTGGGTGGGGAGAATTCCCCTCCATAGGCGCCAGGTTAGACAATGTCGGTGGGTCTTAGAATGCGCCCAAAGCCTGCAGTAGTGGCCAGAAGGCTGTGTCGGAAACAGAAAACACAGCTACTGGTACCTTCAACAGTCGTGCCCTACGCTACCTGCTGAATCTGAAAGCCTGGAGAACTGTCCAAGTGCCCAAGTTCCTTAATGAAGCAACCCAGCAGCAGCGTCAAGATCCAGTCTGATTGCTTTTTTTCTTATCCTCGGGGAGCAGGCTCCTCGGGGAGCAGGCTCTCCCCAGGTTCGCCCCTTCTAGCCCAGGATGGCCTATATTCCAGATGACAGACACCAGTGAAAGGGGACCATCCCTGTCTTGTGTCATGGTTTGCGAATGAGGAGGACTTTCCTAGAAACACCTCCCCAATTTTCCACTGTTCCTTTCACGCAGACCCTGCTGCCGACGGTACTTGTAGATCACGGGGCTTGAAGTGGAGGTGGAGGTCTTCTTGACTCTGCCCTGCCCTCCTCATCACTAAGGGACAGTGACCGAGCAGTGGAGGAATAGCATGACTGCAGGGCTAACTGTGTTTTGCTTTGCTTCTCACCTCTTCTCTCCTGTGACTTTCTAGTGCCCTGAGCTCTAGGCCACAGGCCACCAAGCACCCTGTCTGATCTGCGTCTTGTCTGCTGATGGCCATGGACACGGCACAGTGGGCATGGGCTCGGGCATCCCAGTAGCATGGAGTAGGGCATCCTTTGCTCTCAGGCAGCATCACTTGCCACCAGGGAAGAAAGGCAACCGCTTCAAAGAGAATCAGAACATGGGAGAACTGTGCAAATAGTTGTCCATCCAGTTGGGCTAGATTGGAAAGAATCAAGGCACAGATCTCAAGGCACAGATCCCAGCGCACAGTGTGGTGACTGGTGGCTATTTTTAGTAACTGAGCTGTTACCATTTGGTTCCCCTTCTCAGCAGCACCCAAATTTCCTTTCCGGGAATCAAGCTTGCCTCGCTCCACCTACCTCTGATACCCATCCCTTGGCTTCACAATGGCCTCCTATATAGGCCTGCCCTACCTGAAATATACTGATGATCTCAAAATAGTCCCGTCCTCCTATCAACATGTTTGCATCAAGCTTTGCATCCCCTCAGTGACCTCTCAGTGGGAGAAACCCGTCTGATAAACTAACTACCCTACAATATTAATTGTGCCGGGCCAGCTCAGCCAAGGGTTTGGTGAGCTTGACGGGGGCGGCGAAGGATTAAAGAAAAGACAGACAGAGAGAATCACCTACCTCTGATAGGACATAGTACCCGCTTCCTATGACAGAAGCCAAAGGGCCACTTCCTCCCCACCGCAGCCTGGCCTGAGCACATGACCTAGCCTGGCCAATCAGTCTCTCTTCTGGGCTTTGACTTGACAGGTGGGTCGAGGCGGTTGCTGTGGGTCCTACTGCCTAGACTGCTAGAGTTCTCTTCCAAGAGCCTTTTTCCAAGCCTCACCGCTAGCTTCTGTTGTTCTTTGAGCCCCCATCATTCTTCCAGTAAATATTCTTTTGGTTGAGTGAGACGTAGTTTCTGTTGCTTGCGACTCAGAGCTGTAGCTGACCCAGAATGGAATCAGGAAAACTTGGTGAGAGGGCGGTTTGAAAGAGGAGGTGGGAAGCAAAGCCTGGAGCAGTTTCCTGGTTTGGGCTGAAAAGAAAGCTCAGAAGAAACCTTTTAAGAAAAGATGCTGAACATCCTCCTGAATTGCCCATCCCTTGGCTTCACAATGGCCTCCTATATAGGCCTGCCCTACCTGAAATATACTGATGATCTCAAAATAGTCCCGTCCTCCTATCAACATGTTTGCATCAAGCTTTGCATCCCCTCAGTGACCTCTCAGTGGGAGAAACCCGTCTGATAAACTAACTACCCTACAATATTAATTGTGCCGGGCCAGCTCAGCCAAGGGTTTGGTGAGCTTGACGGGGGCGGCGAAGGATTAAAGAAAAGACAGACAGAGAGAATCAGCTGGGTAGGTGGATCCTCCTGTGCCTGGTTGAGGCCACAGAGAGAGATCCAGAGGCAAGCTGAGCCTTTATTTTATAGCCAGAGGTAAACAAGGTAGTGGTAAC